GAAAGCCAAAGATACTGGGAAGCAAGAAGACTGCTAATGAACTGCTATAAATGTACCCCCCCCCCCTCATGGGGGAAGCTGAAGTCAAAGATTAAGGGCTAATGATAAATATCATAAAGCCTGCCATTTGAAAATAAATAAATGTTTAATGTTGTGGCTTAATATAATTCAGTCAGCTGAATGAAATTAATTTTAACCAAAATTATTTGAGGACTGGGAGCAAGAAATAAGAGATGAATAGTCCAACTCTCAGTTCAACTACTAGTTTAGCTAAACAAATCAAGATCTCATTACCTGGAAACTTTCCTAAATAACTGAATGGCCAGGAGAGACGAACCAATCAGGTTCCAGTATTGGTGTCCAATGCTATCAGTGTCGACCATTAACAGTTAATCGAGGCGAAATAGATTGCCTACCCGCAATAGATTCGACAGCGGGATATAAACAGTCGACAATATGGGAAAGAGAGGGATTAACAATAAATACAGAAGGCCATAAGTGTATTCTGACAAATAACTATTTATGTAAATTAGGGATAGTTAAAACCACGGATTACATCCAGATTATGAAAACGCACTTTTCTGACCTTATGGTCAGTTAAGGTCGTAGAGCGTATGCTTAAAGGCACAGAAGAAAAAAGATTTGAGCGGTCTAAACGATGATTGCTGCTGAGTGTGCAAAGAATAGACATAGAAAAGAGGATGTGAGTTCAATTTGCAAGATAGAACACACGACTTGATTATAGAAAGGGGATTTCAGAGTTCCAACTAAGGATTGAAATTGAAGCAAGAAATTGTGTGTGTGTGTCTGTGTGTGTGTGTGTGTGTGTGTGAGTCAAGATTTCTCAAATGCCATAACTTTAAGCAGAACAAAGAATTACCAATTTTAACAAGTTAAAACACGTCATTAGAACTGCCTTAATAACATACAACTGTCCGATCAGGCCACATAAGGACAGGATTAAGAAAGGTTGCATCTCAAAATGGCTAGCAACTTTCAACCCTTCAAATGACAAATTTTCAGATCAGAACTAACATAACATTTATAATTATACTAAACTGGAAACATGTTCACACCAATGAAGCTTAACAACAGGTTTATGCGAACTCTGTGCAGTCATTTATGATTAGATTAAATGCTTTAAAGAGAGAGAGGAGTGCAACTTGAAGAAGACACGCGAGGAGGTCGACCTACCACAGCAAGAAATCAAGAAAACATCACTCCTACACAGAACCTAGTGCAGAAACAAGATCGACGAAGTGGGAATCACCCACGGATCAGCATTTTCAATTCCCACTGAAAATCTTGGCTGGACCAAACGTTCGGTGGGCACGGTGGGTTCCAAAAGCTTTGCAAGAACAACAACTGATCCAAAGAGCTGAACTTTCTTTACCAACTTAGGCAAAGATGGAAGCAAATTAGAATAATTTGCTTAAGCGCTGTGCTACTGTAGATGAAACTCGGATCTGCCAATTTGATCCAGAAAACAAAATGCCACCAAAAGTGCGACATCCAAAGGAAACATTTGCGTCCGTCGGGTTCAGAGCTGTTAAGGAAGACATTGGCATTATTGATAGGCTTTCTAGAAGCACAGAAAAAAGTCACCTCTCGCCGAAAAGGCGCGGGGAAACTGCACAGTCAGATTTTGTTCCATTATGACAACACCTGTGCACATTACTCAAGAGCCGTCAGGGCTCTGTTGTGGAAATTCTGCCTCTTCCTTATAGACGAAACTTAGCTCCCTCAGACTTTTTGTTCCTGAGCCTGAAAGAACACCTTCATCGCACAACATCTACGCCTTTGGGTGAAGCGAAAGCAAGCATGCAATTTTATGATGCCAGAGACAGTCCCCGACATTCTAACATGAGGAAATTTATATGTGGAACTATTGATTACAAAAGCGTATAGACAGCACTTGAGTCTACGTAGAAAAATGAGTTTAATCACTTGGTAAATAAACAAATTATGGAATTTGAGAACGTTTTGACTCACCTCCGTATAGATTCTTACTTGCGAGAAAAAGTTAAGATAAGATGATAAAATAGACAACTCGAATTGTATGTTAGCCTTTATATCATAAAGGCTTAAACTAAAGGCTAGATTCTCTAATTATCGCATCCGCTAAGAGAATTTTATTCAATATATTCAGGCGGATTTCTACGCACGAATTACCATCGGGAAATGCTCATGAAACATTCAAGTAGAGAATACAGAACAAATTTCAAAGATACAAACATCCAAGATGTCCTCTGTGCTAAAACTCACATCTTCCAGAAATTTAAAAGGCTAAAAGAGGAGGGTGGAAAGTATCCTGCGAAATCATCATTTTCAAGGTCAAATGCGGGCAGAGAGAGAGAGAGAGCCTAGACTTACACTTCGGACCTCCTTGAGCTCTTGAGCAGTTTTCCGATTGGCAGTGCTATTAGAGGGTGTATTGGTATTGGTGTAGTCACGTTTGACGCCACGATTAGATGACCCAGACGGAGTGTAACCTAGGGGCTGTTTAGCTTCGGCTGCCAAGTCGAAGTTGAAGGGATAGTTGAGGAGTTGTTCAATGTGTGTTGTGAGGTCCGCGTAGAGTCCTTGAAGTGCGGATCGGCATTGGCGAATAAATGCTCCTTCGCAATAGTAACGTTTGAGAAGGGGATCGTTGCTCACAAGAGAATTTAACCACAGCAGAAGAGCCCGTTGGCTGAAGTTGAAACACTAGAATTAGCCTTAGAATAGCGTTTATCACAACAGAGCAATATGTACTTTCTTCAAATATGCCCAATTTAGCATATAAGTAACATAGACATTCTACTTTGTGGAATAACACATTCAGTAATTGAGCTAGCCAATCAAATTCGTGGTTGCCGATAATCAAGTAAGAGCTATGCAATTATTGATCTGTCTGAGAAGTTAGTGGTTTGTTCGATTCTCCTGTTTGGAAGAAACCAATTTTGTGATTAGAAGCGAAGATATATTTTATTAATTGAAAACAGATAAATATGTATGGTGCAGAGAATTGCCTGAAGATTCATTAAACTCAAAAAATCACTCAGCAATAACAATTTTCGCGTACTTCTATTATTGCTTTTTTCCCGACATAAAAATGAGCTAAAAAACAGCCCCAACAAGCTAATGAAATAACCAAAAGAAACCAGAAATCAATGTTAAGATGCCACTTAAGCCTTCTCTTGCTAAATACAACATTTGATTCAGCTCCATTAAAAGAATCTCCAATGGTCTAGTCTATCCGCGTGGATTTTAAACATGATAGATTAGATGAGGTGGTATGATCAAACACAGAATTAACCCCACCCACGCAATGATGACAATTTTACATTACGAAATTGGAGCGTAAATTGAGCTTTGGAGAAAGTGGATGACTCAGGACTTATACATTTGGAACAAGAGGAGCAATAAAATGTTTTGACTACGGGGTGTGTGACAGACTTACCTCCACGTGGTGCACCCTGGGCCACGTATACTCATACGGCAAAAAGTCTATTAACCGGTAGTTCACTTCCCACTTCAAACTAACATCACCCCACTGTATGTCATATTCGACTACTTCCACTGTACTCACCTCACCTTTTTTCTACCTTTGTGTCTGTCTCTTACATCTTTGAAACACTGTTCTGTTCTCCCCCCCCCCTCTCGACTTTTTTCACTTTGATGTTCCCTTCACTCTGTGAAGCCTGAAGTCAACTACCAAAACGCCTGCTATTTGATATAAATAAATAAATAACTGTTTTGACTACATTACCTACTTATTTAGAACCCCATCTTCTGCTTCAAGCCATGTTGGATACATTACCTTGCCACCCCCACGCCTCTCGTTTAGTGGTTTACCCACAATCTGAACTAAATTTGTTCACTATGCAGTAGGTAACAACAATAATTAAACTTTGCCACACACACTTAGAACTGCAAGCTTGGCGGCACCTAATAATAGACTGGTGTATCAACCGTAGCGGGTTTTATAGCCCGCGCGCTCCCTAATGAAAGTTGTCCCGTTGATGTACAATACAGAGAGCGCACTTTTTTGCGCAATATATCATTTATCAATCGTGCTAAATTTAGATTGTTTACGTGCATTTACAGGGAATGAGATTGCAATCAAACAGTGCATTCAAGCTTACAAGGAATCATGCTGTTAATGGGTAAAGCGAAGGCCATTTTTGAAACAAAATACGCACCACCCCAGTGCGACATAGAATACGAAAGTGAAAATAAGAAAAAGCCTTGGAAACAGCCGATTTGAGTAAGATAAATGCCTTTTGAGTTGATTAAACTAAAAAAACAAAGGTACTATGCCTAATACGAAGTCGTCTAGCGTTGTTTATCCATCATCAAACCACTGGAAAGTTTCATGCAAAAAAACCAATAGTTTATTAAAGAAAACTTTGGCAGGTAATAGATAGGCAAAGTGTATACCTTAAAACTCGACCTTTTCAACTTTTTAAATAAAAAATTTATGCAAGGCAATATAGCGGTTAAGTAATTAAAAAGAGAGAGTTTGTTAGTATGAAATACATTTCTAAAATAAGATTCAAGAATGCTTAGGATTTTACTTCATCCAAACCAGTGAAGTTAAGAAAGAAATAAAATCGCTTCCCAACACCACTTCGATCGCCAAAAAATGAGCATAGTCTGTGAATTTTGAGTAGTAGATGCAGCAGTAGTCTGCCTGATGCAGAAAGGTGCATCTTAGTGAAACACTCCTCTTTCCAACTACAGGGGTATTCACTCATTTTGATCCTATGTAGGAGGCCAATCGAATCTGAGATTGACATGGACGTTGAGAAGAGGGAGAGTTATTAATAAGATTATTAAATCGTGCTTTGAGTGAAGATCTTTTTTTAGAAAAAATAGCTTTAAATAAGGGTTAGCACTGATGCCGCGATGTTGAACGTTGTGGAATCGATGCGGACATCGATTGATGTACGTGGTTTACGGCAACGGTAAATTTAAGCCATGGCGACTGTACAGTAATCGTAAATTACGCACAAAATCACCCAGATAACAAGTCTTGAATGCATTTTCCTTTGGGAAAAAACAATCAGTTACAAATCTGAATATTATTATTATTATTTCAAATGGCAGGCTTTGTGATATTTATCATTAGCCCCTTAGTTGACTTCGGCCAAATCTGAATTTAGTTTAAGACAAAAGGAGATTAGAAGCATAAGTTTCCTTAAATGACAAGACATTGAGAACATGGATATCACAGGTGGATAACACAATGTGAGTTCCACATGAAGGGTTCCAAGGTGCCTTCCCTTAATGAATTAACTTCAATTCTGGCGCTTCATCTACTAAGAAATTTGCATTCAATGCCAGCATTCGGTTAGAGAGGCCAACTTGGAATAGATAAATATGCAAAAGGCAGTAGACAAATTACTTGAGACAGGCGCAGACAAATGCCCGGAAGCGGAGTTTTTCGCTGATGGCTCCAGTGATTGCTTTCACCTGATTCACCGCTTCATTCAAGATGTGGTGCTCAATTTTGCCCAGATATGCGGCTGAAAAGAACAAAAAATAAGTAGGGCTTTAGTAGAGAACATTATCGCCTTTCGAAGACGCTTAAAACCAACCAAAATGTTCTATTTATAGTCGAACTTGAAACCTTTTCAAATCTGCAAGGGGTGAAAGGTTCATTGAAAGATCTTAGGCATGAAAGCACTAAACTTGGTGACCTGCTGGGTAAAATGGCCGTCTTAATCACCACTCCAAATCGGGGTTACCAAAGAGTGAAGTGTGACTTCATGCCAAAAAAAGTTTTAACCAAAATACAAAAAAAAGTTTGACATTTAGCAAAGTATAGAGTTAGGTCGACTTCAGTGGTGTAAATGCATTATTGAAAGAGGGCAAATGGATTGGAAGTGGGAAAAGAAGCACTAAAACTGATCCACAGGACTTGCTGTCGGGAGACAATTCGGAACATCAAATGTAAACGCTTGTTCCCCTAATTAAAAAATGATAAAGGAGTATTTCCGATTGTGATAAACATAGATAGTCGAACCCTGATGCCCGAAACAAGCCCAAAACACCGAGATCTCAAAGTGCGTAATAAAATTAATATCAATAAGTATCTTGGGCATAATCCTACCCACTAACTAAGAAGTTGGATCAGTAATTTCGAACTTTATTAGGTTATGAGAATAAAGATATCTCCCGGAAACCGATCTTACTATTTACCTCCCATCTTAAGCATTTGCTTACAAGCAACACTTATTTTATTGGCTGGCTTTTGAACTATGTTCAATAACACTCCGACACAAGGGGTGTGCGATAGACTTACCTCCACGTGGTGCACCCTGGGCAACGTATACTCATACGGCAACAATGTCTATTGACCGGTAGTTGACTTCTCACTTCACACTACCAAGACCCAACTGTGTCATATTCAACCACTTTCACAGCACTCATCTTACCTTTTCTCTACCTTCGTATCTGTCTGTCTATCCCTTTTTACATTTTTGAATCACACCTTTTTTCCCACCCCTCGACTTTCTGTTACTTTGATGTTCCTTCCCTCCGTGAAGCTCGGAGTCAGCTAAAGGGCTAATGATAACTATCAAGACGCCTGCCATTTGAAATGAACGAATGAATACTCCAACACACAGCATAACTGCCATCTCCTCCTTTCATTATTTGCCTGGACGTTTCAACGGCCTTCAAAACAATCGAAAATAAAGCCTTATCCATCCCACGCTTTCCGCTCGTTGTAGGTGAATACTATTGATAATTTAATTTAGTGAAATGAAAAGTTAAAACAAAAATCCATTTAATATGCTCTTCAGCGTTCCGATAATTACATTTGAATAGAAAAAAAGTATTAGGAAGTCATTTTTCAATTAGACTAAATAGGTTCAGGACTGTACAACGAAAGTGGAAACTTAGTCGGAATATCATAAATGACCTTATTTTAGAGTTTGATTGGCGCAATATACTACGAAAAAAAACTGAAAAAATGGACTTAATACATGATGAATAAAATAGAATAGCAGTCTGCACACATCATGCACGAATGCTTGTACCCAGCTTCGCATTATCATCATCACCATCAGCAGCATCATCATCACCCGCATCAGTAGCCTAAATCGACGATGACGCGTTCATCGTGTAATTTTATTGGTTACCAACAGGCGCTCGCACACTTGGCTTGACCAAGCTAACGGCAAACGCGAAAACATTTTGCTACCTCCGAAACAGACTATTCCATTGCAAAGCGGCGAAAGAAGCAGATTATGTACTGCCTTGCTGCCTCGTTGTTAGGCCCCTAATAACGATTTCCTGGAAGGGGGAGGGGAGGGGAGGAGAAGGGGAAGCAGAAACTGCCTACGCCGCGTCACTAGGACCCGAAAAAAAAACAATGGAAGAGCAATAGCCTCCGAAAAATGGACCGAAAATCGATGGAAAAAAACGATATAGTGGAAATTGGATACAAGGAGCATAGTATCGAAATAGAACTCATGGTATTTAGATACATCACGCAGAGAAATAGGATTAAACCCCTTTTATGCATTTCGTGAGAATTGGTATGCACTTCTAACAAGACGCTCGTAGTAAAAATATAGATTAAAGTGTGTTCTTAGAAAAAAATTGGAATTAAATTAGGCTAAGTACATGTATTTCACAATCGTATAATTAGCATTGTGGGTTAAAAAAATACGACGAATCATTTGAGCACAAATAAGCCTCATGAAATGAACATCCAATCATTATTAATCATCGCACTCTCAATTCATTAATTAATCTTAATTTTAAAAACAAATCAGTTTCACACATCAGTAATTCGAATCCGTGCAACTTTTCTATGAGTTTATATTCAACCAAACCGGGGTACGCGATAGACATACCTCCATGTGGTACACCTTGGTCAACGTATACTCATACGGTTGACTATTAACCGGCAGTTAACTTCAAAATACCATGACCCACTGCATGACATATTCGACCACTTTCACGGTACTCACCTCAACTTACCTTTTTCTCCTCGACTTTTGTGACTGATGCTCCTCCTCTCTGTGAAGCCCGAAATCAACTAAGGGGCTAATAATAACTATCATAAAGCCTCCCATTTGATATATGTATTAAACCAAACTAGTTGACAATTCCAATGCCTAGGTATGTACCAGTCTTGTCCACTTTCAATAATTGCAAGATATTGTCGATTGGTATAATATTGAGGACTTGAAATCGTTTAACTTAAGCCAACAGAATTATTTTCGTATTAGCAAAGCGAAGTTTCACATAATTACTCATTCTAGTAACAGTTGGGGAATCAATACGTTCTTTAATCATTAGTCTGAATAGAGGGTATAAAAAGTTTCCAAACGCTAAAAGAGGCGATAGTTGGGAGAATGATCGACTGATGGTGGGAAAAAATAATCGCCTACGCACTTAACAATAGGCAACGATATCGTGGCAGAAAACGCCTACACACTAGCATTTCCAGCCAATTATTTTCGCCTTTGCTAAGCTAGCGACGCCAACTGTTCGGATGCAAAATTATACAATTAATTGTAGAATAAAAATGGGCCCCATGTGAGAAAACAGAAGGGGGGGGGCATTGAAAGTAAGTCGAAAATAGGACCACTGTGCTAGACAGAAGGATCAAGTTGGAAGATCGCAACTTCTGTGATCAGGAAATGGTGAACGCAATGGGAAACAAAGTCCCATAAAATCAACACCATCCTTGCTGTTTTTACTAATCTACTGGAAGATCTGATGGTAGGAGAGGAAACATGTCGAAAACAGACTTCTATGGCAATGCTGTACTATTAAAGTGAGTGAAAAAGAAGTTTAAACTTTTTTACTCGAATGAAAGATAAAAAAATACTCTTAGACTGACTTGATATCATAGTTGTTGTAAAGAGAAAAAATACCTTAAATAAACAGATTCTAGAGTCATGACATGTGTGAAATGGAAATCCTTCACTCCATCTGCCACTCACGATGACCTCATGTCAAATGCCATCACCAACGTATTCCATCGACTTGTTCCGCACTATACTAGATGTAAAGCGCATTTATTTTCGATATGTAGGAAAGCTTTTTTCCAACACCCAGATTGGAAAAACCATCATGAAACAACTTTGATGGGAGACTCGAATTCCGTCACCTCGTTTCAACACAGACGGTTGGCAATTCTACTCGGCAGAAATGCACCAATAAAAAGTGGAATTATACCTTCTGAATTCTTAGACGAGAATTTTAACCATTGCACATTTAAGCGAAAATGAAATCTCAACTCAATTCAAACTGCATTCTCTTTCACACAAAATAAGCTTTTGGCATAAACGAAATGCCAGTGGACAATCACTTCCAGGGGTAAGTGAATCGGGGCCTTTTCTGAAGTTTAAACACCAAAATCCGGTGTGGATTAAAGCAAGAAGTTGATCCTGCTAATATTCCTAGCACTCACAAAACATTTTTCTGCGAGTAGCTAAGATGTTTCAACCTTTCATAGATTACCAAAGTTCACCCTGAGGAATTTTTCTTATAATTTTCAGTTTTAAACTAATCTTTTTAATTTGCTTATCTGGGGTGTGCGATAGACTTACCTCCACATGGTGCACTCTGGGCAAAGTATACTCATACGGCAAAAAGTCTATTAATCGGCAGTTGACTTCTCACTTCAAACTACCAAGACCCCACCGCATTTCATATTCTACTAATTAAACAGTACCCACCTTTTTTCTACCTTTGTGTCTGTCTGTCTCTTTTACGTCTGTGAATCATTATTCTGTCCCTCCCCTCGATTTTTTACCACTTTGGTGTTCCCCTTCCTTTCCGTGAAGCCCGAAGTCAACTAAAGGGCTAATGATACCTATCATAACGTCTCCCATTTGAAATAAATAAATTTGCTTATCTACGAAATGCATACCATAAATCACGGCCTAAAGGAAGCGACTTCAAAAACAGACATTTCATGGCGTGACAAAATTGTTGTCAACTTACAGGGTCGACAACTATCCTCGACAAGAGTCCAAATGCGAGATTTCGGTTTGCTGGCAAAAATGGCGCGAGTTTGGGGTGGGAGTAGGCCATCGGAAATGAGTATCATGAGGGGATTGACTACCGTGACAAGACTGCTACGACCAGAACCGCCGAGAGCGGCCAAGGATGAGTAGCATCGATAGTTGGGATTGTTTTTGGCTGAATGCGATAATGATGATCCTGTGGTATGGCTCCCCTCAGGGGTGTCCGAGGAAATGGTGGATTGGCAGAAGTAGGCGATTGTCTCTTGAACGGCTCGAATTACGTCCATTACCATGGCTGAAATTAGAGAAAAAAAATAAGGAATAACTCGGTATGATAGTAAAAATAACTCCTGTTTAGCCATAAATAATAAAATCGATTTAATTAAAGACTAGGAAGAATCTGTATACATGTAATATGCTGCGATTGTTTAAGTAAACAGCTGCCAAGAGAGTGCAAAGCTTTCGAGTTATCAACGAGGTTAGAATTCCTCAGGCGCATCGATCAATAGGGACGACTTAAGGATCCCAATTTTCGCTAGCTAAATGTCTTTCATAAAAGATAAGGGTGAATAAAACGCCACATGATAGTAATGCCATCCACGAGAGAGTGGCATGAAATATGCTGAAAATTCATTCAAAGAACTTTTGCGTAAAGAGCAACAATAATAGTACATATTTTTTTCTCTCAAACCGAATAGCTAATAAGTACAATTCCCGACTTTCATGGGCCCAAATCTACCTCTACAGTTATTAATCCGCTTGATAGATTTTACAAATAAACGCCCATTATAAGTAACCTATAGTATCAAATGGCACAAAAGAGATAGTCTTTGTTATATCTACTTTAGTCGGATTACAGATGTGATCGAGTAACAAGCCACCTCCCCTAATTGAAGAGAAGAATTGCAAAATATTCATGGGATATAACACGTGAATCCAAAATGCGGGAACATATGTTGGATGATACGGGGTGCACGATAGACTTATCACCACGTGAGGCACTCTGGGCAACGTATACTCATATGGTAAAAAGTCTCTAAACCGGCAGTTGACTGACTCCACTGTATGCCATATTTTATCACTTCCACAGTACTCATCTTACCTTTTCCTCTACCTTTATGTCTGCCTCTTTTACATCTTCAAATTGGTTGATAATTGTCAAAGACCTTGAATCAGTTACGGTACACCATCAAGAGGCACATTTACAAAAATATGGAGTAAAAACTATCGAGCAAATCGAGAAATGCAAACCGCTTAATGTGCGCTTTAATGACCCAATTAGTGATCCAAGAACTGATTAACTATGTTAGGTGGCGAAAAGCAACCTCCTTTCCTCAGTGCTTATTCAGTGGTAATTAAATGTGAATTAACCAACTCGCACGAAATTCAATACATACCTGGGAAAAAAAATGGATCATTAATTGTGGCACAAATAGTTCAGTGTCTAGAAGCTACAATTAAGGGCGTTACTTAATCAATATTGACAATTTTACGAAGCAATTAAGGGGGTATATCAAACTGATTACCTAACAGTGTCAAACCGAAATGAGCAGCTTCAGCAAAGACAGTCACAAAAAAATAAACTGCGGGATTTAAAAAAATGTTGCTAGCATTCTCTCAGAGGGTCCCATTCCTGTTTCTGCGTGTTTGTGTTTGAGAATGTATTATCGTGAATGCCCCTTTTAGCGGCCAATCACAAAGTAGTGATAGAGAGATGAGCATTCGAAAGGCTAAGAGTCACTGTCCTTCTTAGTCAAAGCAAATTGAAGCCTTAGAAAATCATTGTGATCACTTTAAGTACGTGTGTAAAGTTTAAAGTAGACCTGAAAGTCTAACACACGAGGGAGGCACAAAATGTCAGCATTCTAAATAAGGGCGAGCAAGCAAAAAGAAAAGAACAAGTAACAATACCAACCAAAAAAACATCAAGTAATTCAGGAAACGTAAGAAGTGTATTTCAAATCTTAGCTGTCGAGACCACAATAACGAGGATATCTTATTTATGAACCGCTCCATTAGGTATAAAATGTAATACAATATTCATTCACTAATTGACCAAATAAAATACATCAAGAATGTTATTAAGAACTCAAACGATCACCATAACTTCAGCTTGGAGTTATGTCAAGGAAAAAGGAATCAATAAACTGGGAAAACGAAAACGTCACATTTTCTTTAAAATTCAGCGACGAGGGAGTATTTAGAGGAGCTTGAAGCGTTCTGACACTTCCTTTTGGAAGGAAAATGTCACGAAAAGAACACAAAAAGCAACAAAATATTTACACACATGGGTTTCATGTCTTGTGTTCGGATAGAGAAAAAAGACTTTCATGTCAACTACAGTAGCAGTAAACAGATATATCAACAAACAATGAACAAATCGAAGTTGAATTTTGTGGGCGAATTTGATGATAATTAAAAGCCATGAAAACGACTACTAACTGCATCGATACACAAAATTCGAAGAATGAGGTATTTACGAAGGAATACGAGGATTCGATACAATGTAAGGAGAAATAATAACTACATAGCCTTGGAAAATATAGCTTATTATTATTATTGATTTTTCAAACATTTCACTCTCAGTAGGACTAATTTTCACTACCTACTCCAATTAAGTCTATTACTAAAGGTCATTATAAATACATCCACAAACGCTTAAGTGTCAAACGAAATAGGGGGATCGAATCGAATAAATATAATTATTAAATACCATAAACCGAACTCCGTTAGAACTAAGTGTCAAGAGGGCAATTGGCAGTACAGAAGAGAAGGGAGGAATGATTGCGGGAGGATCATTCAGAGGATTAACGATCACTCATAAAGATCGCTATTTATGCTCAAGAAACACCAACAGCGCTCAATAACCATCAGTCAAAAGTGGAACGTGGTACGACAAAAATTGTTTAAACTAACCTGAAGATTTCTATAAAAGTGGCAGTATTGATCGAAAATATGATAATTTTCAATTACAAACGTGTTCTCCGCCTTCGTAAAATTATCAACTCAAGAATGGAGCTAGCAACTAGCTTAATCACAGGTATAGATAGCAAGACAACCATTGTGGAAACTAAAAGTCATTGTCGCGAATCCTCAACACAGAAAGTCCATCTAGAACTTCAATTAGCGTGAACAGTGTCAATTAAGACCTATTTACCCGTAGATTGATATTCTCATCCGATTTTGATCTTCTTTTTAGAATGATCTACACACATCCTCTATGTAAACTTATAATACTGTAGAAGAGGTGTGCGATAGACTTACCTCCACGTGATGCATCCTGAGAAACGTATACTCATACGGCAAGAGTCTATAAACCGGCAGTTGACTTCTCACTTCAAACTACCATCACCCCATTGTATGTCATAATCGACTACTTTCACAGTACTCACCTCACCTTTTTTCTACCTCCGTCTTTGAACCACTCTTCTGTCCCCCC